GGGGGGAGGAGCTTTCTCTTTTTGTGTCATTGTTGCCAGGGCATGTTCTGCCTGGCTGGCACTTTCTGGACTCAGGGAGAGAATAGAAGGCACCAAGGAGTGGTAGCAGGAAGAGAAATCTGCTCTTATTCTGGTAGTTTAGGTTGGGGAAGAGAGTGGATCTTGTTAATATTGGTGAAGGAACTGAACATTTGCTTATATGATACTGGTGTAGATAATACAGTAATTACATTGTCAAGTGTTGTAATTTCATGACATTTTCATCCTTTTCATGGGCAAAAAGCTGTGCTACTTTCACTGTAGCAAAATAGTAGGTGTCTGAGATGATATGGGGGAACCGATTAGAGCAGGATTCTGTTCTGTCACTACCGTTCTTGCTAACCATGAATAGCACCATAGAGCTGAGCTTAGGGAGCCAAAGGGAAATAAGAGACATCAGGCATAAATTATTGAAGCTATTTCATCCTTGGTACCATCTGTCCAGCTCTGTATTCTCTAAGGAAGTTTAATCTTTTCACTATAAATTGATGCTGCATCCTACTCTGCCAAATTAAGTCATTTGTACCGAAGTGTTTGCATCTTATTTTAAGGTTTGATTTGAAAATCAATATAAAAACTGGACATATGATATTGTAAATACATTATTGGTAATTAAAAAGTACATATTTACTTTGTATTAAAACAGAAACCAAAGCGTGTTTGCCTCTCATGGAAATGGAGTCTAAATTCACATGAGGGGCAAAAAAACCCCCACCCAGTTTGGTCTAAATGGTTCCCCCTTGGCAAGGAGAGAAACTGATACAATTGTGGTGATTCGTGCAGCTAGAGAAGAATGTTTGAGAAGTAGATAAAAAAACACTGTGTTGGAACGGAACCATAGCTTTTACTGCCCTGGGCAGTGTGCTTGAGCAATATGGGAAACATTATTTTAAAAATCCAAAACAGTATATGCTACCCACTGACATGTGTCCGAAATATGTTTAATGACAGCTGCATCCTCCCTCCCACTTCACCAGAGTAGTATTACACACCGAAACATGAGTGTTGAGTTAGTTCGAGTGAAGTTGAGGCACAGTTTGAAGTTGGTATTCGCATGGGCGCTGCCACCCCTTTAGAGGGAAGTGGGGCTTGAAAAAGACATTTTCTCATGAGTTCCATGGACAGAGAGAAGCAGAGATGCTCTTTAAGAAATGTAATTGCTTTTGGAAACTGTATTAAACCCACAAACTAAGGACTCTGAGGTATCCTGCCCCCAGTGGTGCCTCACATCCCTGATACTATTCGCCAAGCCATCTTTTGCCTTTCTCTGGGGTCTGAGTTCTCTTCACAAGCCCTCGCCCAATGAGGTTCTTCCATGAGGGCCCACCCCACCTGCACCCTCACTTTGCCCCAGGTGTCTTTTTCCTTACTCTTGCACAGGTGTTTCTGCCAGCTCTGTGTGCTTCTCCCTGACACCTGAACATGAAGTGGACAGCTTTGTCAGGGATGACAAGACCCGTACTCCTCACAATTTGAAATACAGATTGTTGTTGCATTTTGAAGAAAAGTTTTTGGTAATTACATTCAAAACTGTTTTGAAGAAGCACCTGTTTGGCCTGTGAGCATTAGTACATTTAATTAATTTTTTAAATTCTATGTCTTGTTAAGGTCTAGAGTTGTGAAAATTGTTGTAATTCAGTGTCTTATTATGTCACTTGAATCATCCCAGTGTTAAACATGCATGTTTAAACACGTAATCATATTCAAAAGCAGGGTCAGCACTTCCAGTTTTAAAATCAAATTTTAAAATCAAAATTCCCATGTCTTACTAGATACATAAACTAGTTATTTCATCCTACTGAATCTCTTTTGTAACCATAGTTTGCTTGATAATGCTAAGTGTTGTTTATATACATATAAGGCTTAACATATAATAAGGAATAATTTGTTGTTATGTGCCATTAAATTGCCTGTGACTTATGGTGCTCCTAAGAATGAGTGACCTCCAGAATGTCCTGTCATCAGTAGCCCTCTCATCTCCTGCAAACTCAAAGCTGTGGCTTCCTTTATATAGTAAATCTGTCTCCTGTTTGAGCTTCGTCCTCTCTTGTTTCCTTCAGGTTTTCCTAGCATTATTGCCTTTTCCATTCTCTCTTCATGATGTGCCCAAAAACTTCAGGCTTGATTTGATGTAGGACCCAGGTGTTTATCTTTTTGGTGGTACAGGGAATCTGCAAAACTCTCCTTCAACAACATATTTCAAATGACAGGTTCATTTGAAGAGGAATCCGGCCATTTTTGAAAGTGAAGTGAAAATTGCTCTGAAGGCACTTTGAAGAAATAAACCCCCAGGCTACATGGAGTGCTGTAAGCCTGAAAGTAGCACCTCTGATAGTCAGGCAAAATTTTATGCATCTGAGATGTGTTTAACATGTTACCTGTTAAACAGGACATTTTTTTTGTTAAACGATCTGCTATTTACTGTTCTACTAAAAAGGTCGCATATTATTTGCAAGTGCTTAATTGCCAATTGGTGTATGCTGCCAGAAGTATCATGCAACTGGGGAATGAACGTATCTATTAGCGAAGCTGTTAATATGCATCAACCATTATTGCACAAGATAAAATGGGTAAATCAGTTGCTGTCCTCAAGCTTAAGCTACATTTTCTAAAAAGGCTCTCTACATTAAGTGTGCTTATTGGTGGTTGTCACAGAACCCTCTGTTGTAGAAATTACATTTTCTTATTCTTCTAGAAGAGTTAGCTAAAATGGAAACTGTGCAAACAGTGAAAGACTAAGCAAATATATTTTGCTTGGCAGTGGCTGAACTTTATGAAACAGTCATGTGCTCCACTTGGAATCTAAGATGCCATACATGTTTTCCCAATGCCAGTGTTTCAAGATACAGTAAGTGCTTGGCAGGAGAATGTTTGAAAAAGCTCTTAATTGTTTAATCTGCAGGTCAAGCACAATGAGCACATGGTGTATCCATTCAGCTTCATGTGTACCCTTGTGTAAATATTTTTCCTGCAGGAGTCGAGACCATTACTTTGGGCTAGAGTGAGTTTTGACAGGTTTTGCATGGTATAAAGGAATGGAGAGAACAAATCTCCTGCATTTCTAAAATCTAGGATTCTTTAAGAGCCTTGCAGTCTGGTAGAGATGAGTAAGAGGGGAGAGAAAGGAATGTGTTTGTCTCTTCTCTAGAAACTAACCAAATAACAGTGGCTTTTTTTTTTTTTTTTGCTAATGAGTATTTCTTTTAAAAAACAGTTTCACATTCATATATTAAGGTACCAGCATTCCAGATTGGCCAGTGTGGGTAGTATCGAGCTAGGACTCAGGAGGTCTAGGTTCAAATCTCCTTTCAGGCATAAAAACGTACGGGGGTTGGGGGGCAGCAGTGGTAAAGCCACTCCTTGAGTAGGTTCTGTACTTCAGAAACCCTAGTCAGGTTGCCATAAGCCAGAAATACACATAACAGTAACTAAGAACCAACAGATCACAAAGTTGGGCAATATATTGCAAATGGTGAACTACTAGATACCAGGGTGGAAAAAAATCAATGATTTTTTAAAAAATCAAATTGATTTAAATCATGATATAATTTTTTTAAATTATTTAAATAATAAAGAAATCCTTTTTTTAAAAAAAATCATGATTTAAATAAAATCCACATTTTAGATATTGCAGTATCTTAAAGTGTAGAAGGAGGGTAGCACTAAGGCTAGAACTAAAACATTGCATGATCAACTTACATCTTGAAGGCCTTGGCTATTGTTTCAAGGGGCATTACATATGTGAAAACTGGTGACTGGGTGCTTAACTATTTTTCTCATCCCCTTCCTGTCCCTTGTAACTGCATCCCGTCCTCATGTTCCATGCAGATGTTTGGAATAGCAAATAAAGGTAGGGAAAAACTATTATCCTGTATTGAGTGAGACTTGGGAACTCCTTCCCACAGGAGGCTAGACTGGCCTCATTCTTGCTGTCCTTCCGCAAGCAGACAAAGGACTTTTCTGTGCAAGCTTTCCCTCAGTGTCTGGCTACATGAGTGTGGTTTTTAGATGGATTATTATGCATTACTGCTCTGACTGGGTCTTTAGTACTACTTATGTTTACCATTTCTCAGAGTGGTGTTTGTTCCTTTTTAATATTTGTATACTTATTGTCCTTAGCTTTAAATATTGTATTTTAGTGATGTAAGCCGCCTTGGGTCCTTTTTAAGGAGAACGACGGGGCAAAATATTTTAAATAAATAATAAAAATTAAACCTGATACCGTGAGCTGATTCTGCAAGTTTGCAGCCTCCATCTTAGGACATTTCTTTCACTTGGCTCTTGATAGTACAACATCTGTTTCTGTCACACACTGCATCAAACTCCGCAATGCCTAGAAAGTTTGCTTGTTTCTAATATTATAAGTGGCCTAATAAAGGTATTAATGACCTTTGTTTTTAAAGCAAGTGATGTTTGGAATTTGGCAAATGAAGGAACTCCAAAGTTAGTTAAATAGAAAGGTAAAGCATGCAGACTAAGCACCTCCCATTTCCCTCCTGCAAATCACTTTCTCCTCTTGCTGATGTGTACTGTGAATCTGTCATTCTTATCTGCAGCTTGAGTTGTAAACACATAGTGTAGTGGGTTTTACTTTTCCGTAAACATGATTGTCGGCTGCTTGTCATCACTGCTGAGCCCATTGAATATGTAACATTGTCCAGACCATCAGGTCACTTATTCATCACTGTATTGGAAACAAATATGTTTCTTTGTTTCTTTCCCCCCTGAAGAACTCATGACAACAGAGTGCTAATTGCCATAGCAGTTATAGTTCCCTTATGGGGAGAAATCTGAATACTACTTGCAATTGACACTTTTATGGGGCATTAGTGCTCCAGTCCAAGAAAAACTATTAACTGTAAAAGAAGGGAGTTATACGTCTTAAAATTTGGTTTGTGATTAAAAGTTTAGTAGAATGCTTAGTTTTGTAGTCCTCCTTAACATGTTCTTTGTTCATGCAGGTTATTTTAGTATCTGCCAACAAGCTTACACGATATATAGAACCATGCCAATTGACGGAAGATTTTGGAGGGAGCCTTGCCTACGATCATATGGACTGGCTTAACAAAAGGCTGGTTAGTTTTAATGCCATTTTTTTCCTTAGTCTTTCCATAGCTTTTTTCCTGGGAGGTGGAGGTTGGCGTGAAGTTAACAGATATGGCTCTTGCATAATATCAGTTAAAGGTAAAATGGGGTATCATTTGATTAAAGTCAGGCCAGAGTTTTGGAGATGGTATCCTTGATATTAGCCTGACTTTTGTTATGATGCATTTAAAGTTTATAGCCACAGAGATTATATGTTTGTTTGTTTATTTGTTTGTTGCAAGTCAGAGGTCATTCACTTGTCTGTACAGGCCCTTTTCCCTTCTTGCTTTAGCACATTCATTCTGGGGGATTTTCTTGCGTTTAATTTTTTAAAATATATATTTTAAACTGGGAAGTAACTTAAAACTAATGTGGCAATAATACATGTGTGTTTTTTACTGCATAAGAAGCAGAGGTCAACACCCGTGGAGGGGTGGGGGAGCGTCGCAAGGGTCCGAGTGAGCCTTCCAGGACCCATGCAATGCTCCCCCCACCCCCCACAGGGCCAGCGGGGGCAAAATCGCCACCTTCTGGACTCTTTTGAGGCTTGGCAAGCTTCAGAAGAGTCCCTGAATGTGGTGATTTTGCTCCCTCTGGCCCCACTGGGGGGGAGCCTCCCAAGGGTTCGAGTCTGCCTTCCAGGACCTTTGAGAGGCTTCCCCCACCCCCCATGGGGCCAGTGGGGGTGAAATTGCCACCTTCTGGAACTCTTTTGAGGCTTGGGAAGCTTCAGAAATGACCCTGAAGGTGGCGATTTCGCCCCCTCTGGCCTCTGGGGGGGCTGGCTGAGCCTCCAAAGGGTCCTAGTTTGTGTTCCATAAGACGGACCTCTCCATAAGGCTCGTCAAATTTTTAGGAGAAGAAAACAGATTGTTTTTTTCCTGTTTTCTTCTCCTAAAAATTTGGTGTGTCTTATGGAGAGGTGCGTCTTATGGAGCGAAAACATGGTAATTGATAATGTTGGCTTAAATCTTTTTGGACTACAAATTGAGCGGAGGACATCTAACTAATAAGGAGACATTACTTTAATAGATAAATAAAAAGACTTAAATAAAATATGAATTTAGTGTATGCACAGCTATTCAACCATAATCATACATTGCGTATGTCAATGGCAAATTGCTAAGTCATTTAACAGTTTGCGTTTGACTCTGAGAGTGAACTAAAGCAAATATTGGTCGACAACCATAGAATATTAACACTCATACTTTCACTGTATTATTTCCATTGTAAAGATTTATATAAGTGGCTGAAAAGTAAACTCCAGATTTTTATTGTTTACTTGTTCTTTGAATGCAGAATATATATTTGTTTGCAACCAGAGATAGCACGCTTTGGTGTTCTTCAATAGGACCACATCCCCATTAGTTTGATGAGAGATCCTTAACTTTGCCATACCATCTAGTACAAGTCACCATATTGTTGTACTTCGGCATTGTATTTTAACTACCCTGTTTCCCTGAAAATAAGACCTAACCTGAAAATAAGCCCTAGTATGATTTTTCAGGATGCTCATCATATAAGCCCTACCCCAAAAATAAGCCCTAGTTAAGTGAAACCCTGCCCTCCACCATTGTGCAGCAACCAGAAGAAGATGACATGGCTGTATTTGAATAAACGTAGATTGTTGTACAAGAAAAAAATAAAACATGCCCTGAAAATCAGCCCTACTGCTTTTTTTGGAGCAAAAATTAATATAAGACCATGTCTTATTTTCAGGGAAACATGGTAATACTGACGTGCACGTTCCTAGCACTGACTTTTCTTTACGTATGTTAGGAAATAAAACAGTGACTGGTATTTTATATAGAACATTTTATGGGGTCTCTGAATCATTGTAATTTGAATATTCACTTAGTTTCAAGAATGGTGCTGCACAGATGAAAGTTAAAACGTCAACAGACTTTACAGACCTTCTTAAGATTTATTCTTTAACATTTTCATTTAAGAACACCAGTCATTTTTAGCAGTCAGGGTTTATGATTGCAGGGTGTTGCTTAAATGAATGCCCAACAAGTAATGCATGTTGCCTAATCTGAGTCCCCTTCCTGCACAAGTGTATGTGAGTGTCTGTTTAGTCTTTGTTTCATTTAGCAGGCATATGCTAGGAAAATAAATGATTGCATATATGCCAATAAGGTGTCATTTGTTTTCCTAGCAATTCTGAAAAATCACAACTTTCCCTGGTATCCAGATGTGTTTATACATGGCTTTACTTGCCACCTTTAATGAATGTAATGTTTTAGATTATTTTGCAATGCCAGGGATAAACAGAGAGGACAGTGGACTCAGTCTTTCACTTGAGTCCAAGAATCAGTCTCCGTCATGCTAATCATAAATATTTCATCTAGGCATTTGAAAAGTTTACAAAAGAATCTACATCCTTACTAGATGAGCTTGCCTTAATCAACAGTGGTAGTGATAAAGGAAACCAACAGGAAAAGGAAAGGTAATATATTTTCTCATTTCCCTCCTTAATTGATCAACAATTATATCCTGTTAACTATAAGCTGGAGTTCACAGAAGAAAACACAGCTGTTTTTCAAGAGCAGTGCTGTGGGAAGATACTGGGGAGGGAGATTTTTTTTGCCTAGAAAGTTGAACTACTCTCTCTCACTCTCTCTCTCTCTCTCTCTGTTTCTGTGTGCCTCCTTATGGCTTAATTGCTGGTAGAATGGTTTTCTGCAGCTGTTGGCTCTGGTGCATTAGTATCCATTTATGTATTCTTTCTTATATTCCAAAATTTCAACATTTACAGGTAGTTCTTTATTACAGGGAAATCTTGAAAAGAAGAATGAACACAATGGCATGCTGAAGCACTACATCATCTTACCATAGCTCAGGATACTGGGTGGGAGAGTGGGTTGGAGTAAAGTCAAGATGTCTTACATTAATAATTTTTACAAAATAACTTTCCAATCTTTGGGTTCAGTTGTCCCTAAGAGTTCATAGTTGTGGTATTCAAGTTCTTTCATCTTTCAAGACTTCTCTATAAAGTCACATTTCAGGTCGTCAGCACAGGATGAGATTTCCATATTCTGAGTGGCAGTACCACTTGCTTTTTCAGTATCATGGATGCTATTGAAATTAAAGCATAACCTGGCAAAAGGAAAGAGAGAAACAACCCCCCCCGCCTTTTCATCTTGAACCCCAACCTTGATGCATTTTCAGTGTACTTGAAAAGACTATATTTGTTGCTGAGCTCATAGAAGATAATTGAACAGATGATATATTTGTCTGACAGAGCTACGGAAGCTGTGTGTATATTAATACAGTGGTGCCTCGCAAGATGAGCACTTCGTTTAACAAAGAAATTGCATAATGAAGAAGTTTTTCCGATCGCAAAACTATGTTTCCTATGGGTTTTTTTCGCTTTGCGATGATCGGTTACCTGCTTCACTAACCGATTATCGCAAAACAAAGATTTTTGCACGACAGCTGATCAGTTTCAAAATGGCCGCCAGATAATGGCTACCGGATAAAACAAATAGCCACCCGCTGTTTTCTGGGACAGATTCCTCGCTGCTCAGGCAGCGAAAATGGCCGCGCTATGGAGGATCTTCGCTGGACGGTGAGTTTCAAGCCCATAGGAACGCATAATCGGGTTTTAATGTATTTCTATGGGCTTTTTAAAATTGCTTTACAATGTTTTCATTCCACAGCGATTTGGCTGGAATGAATTAACATCATAATGCGAGGCACCACTGTAAATGTTTTTCAAGGCTTATTGATCTCTCGTATTTGAAAAATAATGGGTGTGGACAGGATTATCACCTCAAAATCTCAAATGTCCCAGGGTTCTTGAGATTTGATAAAAACTCTTTGGACAAGGTCAAAAGTGAAACCCTTATTTTAATACAAATATATTTAGGCTTTGTAATATCGGGGGGGGGGGGGCAAATTTTTTTTTTTTAATGTGGGGGGGGGGGAGTCGTGAAATTCAGGTTTTCTTTGCTTTCTCTTCCTATCTAAGGATTGAAATTCTTTTTTGATTTACAAGTAAGTAACAGTGATTTACTTTTCTTTTTCAAGGTCTATTGACTTAAATTTTATGCCATCTGTCGATCCTGAGACTGTTCTACAGACAGGTATGGTGGGCTGAAATTGGTGCGCTATGGCATCATTACTGTTCCTTTGATTTATTTTTTTCTTTGCTTTCTCTTCCTATCTAAGGATTGAAATTCTTTTTTGATTTACAAGTAAGTAACAGTGATTTACTTTTCTTTTTCAAGGTCTATTGACTTAAATTTTATGCCATCTGTCGATCCTGAGACTGTTCTACAGACAGGTATGGTGGGCTGAAATTGGTGCGCTATGGCATCATTACTGTTCCTTTGATTTATTTTTTATGAATTGTTATGAATGTGGACATAATGTTAATAGCTTATTCCTAGGGCTATCAGTTAACTAAAATCCTCATAGTAAATCAATCAATCAATTATAATACAATAATGCATCTGAAATGTATTACATCTCACGTTAAGTTATCATTTTTCTGTTCATCACTGTTCTGCCTTCTCGTGTTTCTGGGAATAGCAGCTGTAGAGAAATAATGGACCATTTTGCTGAAATTGCTAATCAGCACCTGAGAATGCCAAGAAGGCAATTAAGAATTCAAGCTCTTTTATAAACGAGGAGTTGGAAGGATAATGGGGCCATAGTCTTGGAGATCTGTTTATTTAAGACTAAAGTGGAATGAAAAGTAGAATGCAGGTGGGGGAAGACAGTGGAGTGTCTTATCAAACACAGAGCAGAACCCCTTGTGAAACCAATTTTGTGGCAATAGAGATGTGAAAGCATTTTCCCTCTTACCTTACACCTGTGTCTGCACTGTGCCAGCCCATGGAACCTTTTTTAGGTGTGAGGGACACATTAACAGTCTGACCCAGAAAGAGAATTATCTGTACTCTTGACAGCACACTAAAACATTTTCAAGATCAATTGAAGATTAACATTGCTCATATGTCACAAATTAAACTCCCCAGTGAGCACAGTTCCAACAGGAAAGATGTCTTAATACTGACTGGTCCAGATACATTGGGTGTTCTGAGTCAAGAATATGGACATATTACTGGACATCAGATCTGAGCAACCACCGGTACATTCAATCCTAGCCCTTGTGACTTTCACCAGAGAGAGGATGTTTCCACTCATGGGAAAAGATAACAACAAATGATATATTAATGTTTTAATGTATAGAACTAATCCATTAATCCCTATTAATAGGGTTACTGTAAGTTGGAAGGAACTAGACAGCACATAAAAATAACAATCAATAAAACCGTTACTGCTATGATTTGGAGTGCTGTCTTCAGTGTGATTGTTCTAATACACAGGCTTTTTTTTATTACCACTAATGATGAACAGCTTCCTCATTCCCTCCAAGATTCTGTATCATGCCATCTTTGCAGCCCCAGATTAGATTTGTATGGAAAGTGGAAGAGACTCATGTCATCAATACAAAGAAGCTACATGTCATTTTTATTCTTCAGCAACAAACAGAGTGAATAAAAATGGATGTTAGAATTAAATTTTCTTTTTTAAAAAAAATTATATCAGATTTTTTAAAAAGAAAATTGTTAAAATGCCTTTTCTTTTAAGGAGAGCCCCGTATGATAATGATTTTAATTTAAAATGTGTTATGCCTCAGAGATCTCATTATGGAACAAACGTTATAAATTTTGGTTCTTTATTATGAGATACTGGCCTAAATTCTGCTGTTAAACTCTTTAACCTACTTTAGCATAGTAATTCACAGAATAGACACATTTGAATCAGTGTAACTTATGGAGGAGTTGACTCACCCCCCACTGATTGTGATTGACTGTGCTAAGAAGCAACAGTGTATCTGACATAATATTTTTCCAAACAATTTTTAAACAGTTTCTGAATTAGGGTCCCATTTCATAAGGTGTTGTAGACCTCTGCGTATGTTACTTAGATCATTGGTTCCCAACCCAAGTGTTCTTAGACCACAACTCCCAGCAACCCCAACCAGCACTGCTTCTGAGAGTTGCAGTCCAAGAACACCAGAGTTACCCAAGGTTGGGAACCACTGATTTAGATGGATATTTCTGTCTCTTTTTGTACTGGGTCTAGTAAATATTGTCAGGATAATGTGAAGTTCTCAGATAGGGTTTGTGTCTCCATCTCTTCATTCTTGTCAACTGACTTGATTAGCCATGTCTTCCACCTCTGACTGAAGTTTTTCCTGGAGCTTTTGTCCTCAACGAGATACAGTGTTGAAATACTTGAAAAGCTTTTTAGAATGCCCAGCAATACTTTTGATAGTTACCTTGAATTATGCCAGTTCTTTTAGAGAGGCAACTCTAGTTTTGACTCTCTGCAATTTTGAATAGATAAAATCAAACCTGTATCTCTTTTTCTAAAAAGACTTTCAGATATTAGAACTATTAATGAATAAAGGATTATTGAAGAAGGAGTGAATCTGGGCAAGGAGATTACATATATTAGGGTTACTAGAAGCAAGAATGCAGTTTGGTAGGGAATCCATGTTTTTAAATCAAGTCTTTCAGCTTGATTTAAATCGGATCTATTTTGGCAGGAAGTCTTCCAAATTTACCCTCGCAGCTTTGGCTCATTTTTAACTGACTTCGTGTATTTTATTCATAAGATTATTTCTTTGTAATCTACAAGGTCATGAGCTTTTATCTGAATTGCAACAACGCCGCTTTAATGGTTCAGATGGAGGGGTCTCGTGGTCGCCGATGGATGATGAATTGCTTGCTCAGCCCCAAGTTATGAAGTTGCTAGATTCACTCAGAGAACAGTATACACGGTATCAAGAAGTATGCAGACAACGGAGCAAGCGCACTCAGCTTGAGGAGATTCAGCAGAAGGTAATGCAGGTAAGGTGACAAACTCCACTGAGTTTATTTCGCTTATAGGCAATAAAATAGCCTGGCCTAGAAGATTACCTCACGTTCACTATGAACAGTGTTTTTCCAGCAGTGGTGTTTCCCCCATGATGTGTCCATCAGCTGACTCTGGTTACTGAACATTTCTGTCAGAGAGCTGACAGTCCAGCAGAATTCACTGTCAGCAAAATGATACCTCACCTTATAAGATCTTTGTTGGAAAGACTGAACAATCTGAAAGAAAGAGAGAGAATGACTGGTCATCATACATTCTTTATGGTAATTCTCCGTCAACTGTACTATGAGATGGAATTTATACCCTTGTCTCTCTTGACCCTCTAAGCTGCCAGGTGTCATTTATTGTGTTATTTTACTCTGCAGTTTATTTTCACCTGAAATACTAGATGGCAATATCCTTCCTATGTGTGTTTTGGGTACCATGTGAACCACTTTTTAAAGTGTTCAAGTGGCACCCAGCAATTGCCACTTGAACACTTTTAAAAGTGTTCAATTGCTTCCAAGTACGTATGTACTTAATAATATTAATCTGCTTCTGTTGGATTACAGTGGGCCCTCGACTTACGAACTTAATCCGTTCTGGGAGGACGTTCGTACCTTGGAAAATTCATAAGTCGACCTACCATTTCCCATTGAAATGCATGGAAACGGAATTAATCCGTTCCAGCATTTCAAAAAATATATATATACAAAAATAAAAATAAAAAGAGCAAGTCCCACGTTGGGACTGCAAAACACACACACACAGAGAGAAACATAACCCCCCCAGTCCAAACTCACCCTCCAAAACACACACAAAACAGTTTTTTTAAAAAGGACTTACCAGTCTGAAGCCTCACGGCGCTCCACGTGGCCGGGGGCGAGCAGCCAGGCGCCCGACCTGCTCTAGCCGCCTGGCCCTCCGCTGGTTCTGTGTGACCGGGGGCGTGCGGCCAAGGCCCTGGCCTGCTCTAGCCACCCGGCCCTCCGCTGCCTTTGGAGCTTTCAAAGGACTTCCTCCAATGTCAGGGAAAGCCCTTTGAAACCTCTGAAGGCACCGATCGTGGTGGCGAGGACCCCCAGGGAGGTCTCCCATGGTGGCATGCAAGCCTTGGGAATCCAGGCTGCTGGGGAGAAATCAGCTCCCTCTTTTCACCCGATGCTGAGTCCCTTTCGCGCCGGCTGAGCTCAGCCCAGCGCGAAGAGGACTCAGCATCGGGTGCAAGGAGGGAGCCAATTTCTCCCTGGCCGGCTGGCTTGCTTTTCCGGCTTGCTTTCTCCCTGCCCTTTTGGCTTCGGAGGTTTCAGAAGGCTTCCTCCAATGTCGGAGGAAGCCTTTTGAAAGTTCCAAAGGAAGGGAGAAAGGGCAGGAAATTCGAATTTCCTGCCCTTTCTCCCTGCCTTTTGGGTTCATAACCCGATCTCCATTCGCAAGTAGGGTTACTACTTGCAATGAGATCGGGTTCGTAACCCGAAATGTTCGTAACTAGGGCCGTTTGTAAGTCGAGGGCCCACTGTGTGTGTTAAACTAGGCTTGTTGTTGTTTAGTCGTTAAGTCATGTCCGACTCTTTGTGACCCCATGGACCAGAGCCCCCCAGGCCCTCCTGTCTTCCACTGCCTCCCAGAATTTGATCAAATTCACGTTGGTAGCATTGATGACACTGTCCAACCATCCCATCCTCTGTCGTACCCTTCTCCTCTTGCCCTCACACTTTGCCAACATGAGGGTCTTCTCCAGGGAGTCTTCTTTTCTCATGAGATGGCCAAAGTATTGGAGCCTCAGCTTCAGGATCTGTCCTTCCAGTGAGCACTCAAGGTTGATTTCCTTCAAAATGGATAGGTTTGTTCTCCTTGCAATCCAGGGGACTCCAAGAGTCTCCTCCAGCACCACAGTTCAAAAGGATCAATTCTTTGGCGGTCAGCCTTCTTTATTGTCCAGCTCTTGGTTCCATACATCGCTACTGGAAAAACCATAGCTTTGCCGGCAAGGTGATGCCTCTGCTTTTTAAGATGCTGTCTAGGTTTGTCGTCACTTTCATCCCAAGAAGCAGGTGTCTTTTAATTTCGTGGCTGCTGTCACCATCTGCAGTGATCATGGCACCCAGGAAAGTAAAATCTGTCACTGCCTTCCATATCTTCCCCTTCTATTTCCCAGGAGGTGATGGGACCAGTGTTCATGATGTTAGTTTTTTCGATGTTGAGCTTCAGACCACTTGTGCTCTCTTTCACCCTCATTAAGAGGTTCTTTAATTCCTCCTCACTTTCTGCCATCAGAGTGGTATCATCTGCATATCTGAAGTTGTTGATATTTCTTCCAGCAATCTTAATTCTGGTTTGGGATT